TATATTGTCTGTATATGTGTACTAATCAAAGCTCTTCTCCAGGCTACTGTATAATGGGTGGTGAAGAAACTGCGCTTGAGGGACATCTCCCTAACTCCCCTGTTGCATCTGTTCAGGGACAGCACCATTTTCAGCCTGACTAGAGCTTCAGTCAGAGTAAGTGAAAACACCTGTGTGGGTGCAGCCCTTCAACGACTGTCAGTACAAATTCAGCAGATACAAATGAAGTTTGGTGCCACAGACAGTAGACAGAGATGTACTAATGCATTATGGGCTTTGGTCTTTTGATGGGATTTGTTAACTATAATACAAATATAAGACGAACATTACACTTTTAATTTGACTTGAATGTTGAAAACTGCCACTCTGCTCTGAATCCAGCAGGTGGAGCCTTCTCTCTCCCTCTGTGATCTCGCGGTGTTTGGTCGGTGTCGCGGTATTTAGGTCATGTGGCACTTGGCTGAAACGTGTGTCTGCAGTCTTTTTCCCGAGGTGAAGCAGCCGAGCAGACACGCATTGCGTGCTGCTGCAAAGATTTACTTATCATGGTAAGAAAAGTGGTGCTGAATGTTTGGGCGTACTTATAAAGTTGTCACTGAAGGATACAGTTGAAGCCTCTGTAAGATTACCGACGCTTTTAAAAACAGAAATGGCTATTTTTAATATATTTACTGTTGTGCAGCTGAAGGCCTTTCAACATGAGTGTTAGCCACCCATGTAGCTACCTTTAGCTGGATGTTTTTAACTTTAAATTACGTGCGCTGCCATTACTGACGTTACACACGGACAGCTTTGTACGTTGTAGTTATTCAGGTGAAACCGGGGGACTTGTTCTTTCAGCGGCAGCACATTAGTTGAGTATTAGTTGGTGTGACTGCGCGATAACTGCGATATAAGTTAGCATTAGTTAGCTTCCTAGCACTTTTCTGCACGGGCCCAGGTCAACACGTGGGTCCGTCCTGACGACAGCGTGGCTGCGTATGAACGTCACGGAGAAACTTTAGGCCCAAATTGAAGTGAGAAACCAACGCTTCTTAAAAAATACTGCCTTTAAACTCATTATTACATTTGAACTGTATCAAGTTAGATTAACAAACTACCAGCAGTTACGCGTTAGCTTATGTCGGCTCGTGCCTCTGCGGGCTCCACGTGGAGCTTGGTAAACACACGTGGCTGTGTACATTAAGTGTTGGTAAACATTTTACGGACGCTGTTCTGATATGAGATGTTACCTGGTGTCGTTCCGCAGGTGTTGTTGCACGTGTTGTTCGAGCATGCGGCGGGCTACGCGCTGTTCGCCGTCAAAGAGGTGGAGGAGATCGGCATGCTGCTCCCTCAGGTTGGTCCTCGGCTCTGGTTTCTCCTCGCTGTTGGTTTGATCTGTTCTCCAGATGGTGCAGAAGTAACCGTTCGAGTGTGTTTCAGGTGGAGGAGAGCGTGCTGAGCATCGGGAAGTTCAACAGCATGGTGAGCCTGGCGGCCTTCTTCCCCTTCAAGTCGGCGCAGGGAGCTCTGGAGAACATGAATGCAATTTCTGAAGGCAAGCTGGCTTCCTGCTTTATCAATGTATCGGTCTCCTCAGTTGTAATGATGTTCAATAATCTGTCAATCCACTGAGCTACTGTGCTGACACCCTAATGTAAACCTGAACACCTGAGGAGATCTTAATGAAATGGAGCAGTTGTTGAGTAGGCTGACCTGATGAAATATTTCAGTGTAGATTTAAGAAGAACTAAACACTTTATTTTCCCATTGGCTGTAACTGATTATCAATTAATCTGCTAATGTAATATTACTAGTGCAGGCTAATTTCAGATATTTCAGCATAATATAAAACAGAGGAAAGCAGGAAATCTTATTATTTGAGAAGCTGAAAACATAACTTCCTGCAACTCTCGCACAAAAGACTACTCTACTTCAACCAGATCAACTGCTGGTCCACTCTATTTGCAGTTTAGCAGTACATGGTTTTCTGATTGAACTGAGGCTAGTTGATTGCATGAAGGAATTATACCTAGCAAAGATAACTTTAAAGATCAGTCTGATACAGATACATTGGGCTTCTTCACATATCTTTAACAACCTGTTCCATTTCAAATAGCTTTGTTGCACAATCTCAACTTCATTTCAACAAAGTGCATACAGATAGCTGAATAATCTCTGCTCTTCCCCCTGCAGGTGTGGTTCACGCTGACCTGAAGTTATTCCTAGAGACAAATCTGCCCCTCTCTGGGAAGAAGAAAGCTGTGTTGGGGGTTTCAGATGCCAAGATCGGGGCAGCTTTACAGGAAGAGTTCAGCGTTTCCATCCAGACTGGTGGGGTGGTGGCAGAGATAGGCAGAGGTGAGACCGCTTGCCTGATTTATTTACCCTGTTTAGGAAAAGCGCACTTTTTTTTAAATTTATTTTGTGGTTATGGACAGTGGGAGCAGATGGAGCTCCTAGGACTGGACCTATGCCAAATGCTTAACATTTTGAAACTTGTAGCATTTTAGAGATAATGTGGCTGGTTGTGATGCAATCTTGTGATGCTGAAACTCATGAAGGTTCATACTGAAAATCTGAACAGCCACTGGTCACATGGTGGTCTGCAACTGTTGCACTTAACTCCAACAAACCCTTTGTGTTCATCTGTCCTGTCAGGTTTGCGTCTGCACTTCCACTCCCTGGTGAAGGGTCTGACAGGCCAGGCTGCGTCCAAGGCACAGCTGGGTCTGGGTCACAGCTACTCCAGAGCTAAAGTCAAGTTCAACGTCAACAGGGTTGACAACATGATCATCCAGTCCATTGCTCTGTTGGATCAGCTGGACAAAGACATCAACACTTTCTCTATGCGTGTCCGGTAAGGTTCCCTCTGTTGCACCACCTAAACAACATTTATCTGTTGGCCGAGAGGGAAATGTTTCATAAAAGATTAGACATGGCAGCAAGTGGTTTTTGCAGTGCTTGTGGGCAGTTTGAGAGAGAAGAGAAACTTGAAAGTCACTAACAATCTCTGCCTTGTTGTCTGCAGTGAATGGTACGGCTACCACTTCCCAGAGCTGATCAGGGTCGTGCCCGACAACTCGATGTACTGCCGTCTGGCTCAGCTCATCGGAAACAGGAAGGAGCTGTCGGAGGGGAGTCTTGAGAGCCTGGAGGAGGTGGTGATGGACAGCGCCAAGGCTCAGGCCATCCTGGACGCATCGCGCTCCTCCATGGGTCAGTGAACAAGAATCTTTAACATACAAATTGATGTTTTGTCACTTGAACAACACCTTGCCCCCTTTTTGCTCATCTCGGACCAATAATTGTCTTTGGTGATAACACAGGGGGGCAGAGTAGCTCTCTCATAAACCTGTAGTGAAGGCACAAATCCTCACTGCGGATCCTGTCGGGAGAAACAAACGCACATTCGTTTAGACATGACCAGTAAACCTTTTCATTGTCGAAGCAGCACTACACTAACATTCCAGTGTGTGCATAGTAGTATCCCACTTCTCACCACCTTCTTCTGTTTGTTCTCCAGGTATGGACATCTCTCCCATTGACCTGATCAACATAGAGAGGTTCTCCAATCGTGTTGTGTCTCTGGCTGCCTATCGGCTAGAGCTGCAGGAGTACCTGCGCTCCAAGATGAGCCAGGTGGCTCCCAATCTAGCAGCATTAATCGGAGAAGTGGTAAGTACCAGTTTAAGTAGTTCACAAGTGGCTTTGTGTGTATTAAATGGGACCAATGATGTTATACCAAAATCTGTCAATCCACTGATCAATGTGATGACAAACATATCCGGTTCTGATGGTCCTCCAATAATGTGTGCTCAGCTTCCATCAAGATCAAATCCTTTCTGGGAGCTACAGTAGACCTGTTATATACCGTCACACTGACACCATTTTCTTTTCTTTTAGGTGGGAGCTCGTCTGATCTCTCATGCTGGCAGTCTAACCAACCTGGCAAAGTACCCAGCCTCCACCGTTCAGATCCTGGGAGCAGAGAAGGCCCTGTTCAGGTACTGGGGCACCCCCTCCCTGCTGGGGAAAGAAGTGGCTGCAGTGATGGCAGGGCTGGGCTGGAGCAGAGCAGGGTGACTGGTGAAGACTAAGGTCTCCTCTGGAGTGATCCCTCTCGCCCTAAAGCACCCCCACAGTCTGAGCAGCCACTCACAGCACTGAGGTAGTACATCTGAAAAGCTAGTGGCCATCATTTATTTTAATGCCAACCTGCACTCAGTTGTGCATTTGGGAACGGAAGAGCAGGTCCAAAACTGCTAGCACAAAATGTTGTACTTTTGTACTTTTTAGATGAGAATCCATTGCTTGACCTGCTCTGTCCTGTGTTTCTGTGTAAACTTAAACACTGTAATTTTTAGTGGCACAGACGCACTTGACGAAGGCTCAGACTTCCTCTTGTGCTTATTGAATAACATTTTACTGCTTAAGTGCACCCTGAATGTGAAATTGGCTGTATTTTCTCACAGAGCCTTAAAAACTCGTGGCAACACCCCCAAGTATGGACTCATCTTCCACTCGACCTTCATCGGACGCGCTGCCGCCAAGAACAAAGGGCGCATCTCCAGATACCTGGCAAACAAATGCACAATCGCCTCGCGCATTGACTGTTTCTCTGGTGAGTGACAACTTGTGGAGTCATGCCCCATGTATACAACTCATGTGGCATAACTGCAATGATGCTCATATTTTTCGTCAACAGCATTCAACCCTTGGGTTGATGTTGAGAAGCTAATTACTGAGCAAAGCCACGTCTGTCAAGGCACTGTTAGTCCTACTGTAATCCCCTGCTGGATTTGACTTTTGGATTTTCCTTTTTGTTACAGAGTTACCCACAAGTGTGTTCGGTGACAAGCTGCGCGGACAGGTGGAAGAGCGCCTGTCTTTCTACGAGACCGGCGATGTGCCACGGAAGAATGTGGATGTCATGAAAGAGGCATTAAAGGAGGTGAGCTCAAAGATTCAACTTGAAGTCTCAGCATGTGAGAAGCTGGGTGGTACACTCAACAGGACATCAACTGTCTGTTAAAGTGAATCTGCTGCCATGGGGTTTTTCAAATGCTCTTAATATAGGTTCCGTCTCATTGCTGTGAATGATGACAAATCTTTCCCTGACAACACTGTGAGGGCACAAACTGATTTAATGAGCCTGACGCAGCATTGATTCTTAAAGGAAAAACATGGTTTTGCCTGGGTTGTAGTTGAATATATCTCTCGCTCTCATCTTAGGCTACTGATGTTGCAACTGAGATCAAGCGAAAACTGGAGAAGAAGGAAAAGAAGCGCAAGAAGCGTGAAAAGAAGTTGCAAGAGCTTGACGCCAACGGTGACGCAAACGGTGACGCAGAGGTAAGACTGAATTTTAGTATCTTGCCACGCATGTTTTGATTTGAGATCTGACCCACACACGTGGTCCTGTCTCAGTGTACGACATGCTAGATCAGCCTGACTCCGAACCATTGGCTGGTCCCAAATAATGGACTTGATCACTGAAGTGAGTCAGACATTGCAGCCACTTGAAGGACAAACATACGTGCCTAGCTTAGAGTAGAAAAATGTTGCTTTCCCTGACAGTGTTTTGCATCCATGCAGGTGGAGAATGGAGATGCAGACGTTACCGTAGTGAAAAAGAAAAAGAAGAAACAAGCGGCTGAGGAGATGGAGGTCCAAGTAGAGGAGGCAGCTGCTGCAGAGAACGGAGCAGAGGACACCCCAGGGAAGAAGAAAAAGAAGCGAAAAGCTGAGGCCGAGGAGGTCCAGGAAGAAGAAGCCGCTGCCGCAGATAATGGAGTGGAGGAAACTGACACTCCAGCCAAGAAGAAAAAGAAACGAAAGACTGAGACCATGGACGTAGAGCCAGCAGAAGAGATCCCAGAAACGCCTGTGTCTGAGAAGAAAAAGAAAAAGAAGAAAAAGGAGGCTGCGGAGTAGATGTGCTCAAAGACTGAATCTTTATTTTTTGTGTACAGTTTATTTTTATTCCTCTTATCTGAAGCTATATCATGCAGGCATTTTTTAATGTTGTATGTCTTTTTTTTTTTTTTTTCTCATATTTTTTTTTTTTTTTTTCAAAGCAGGTTAGACTGCAAAGAAATGCTTATGACTGTGCCTTGAAGTCATTTTCCTTGTACTTCTGTAAATAGTTTATCAATTAAAGCCTATGTTGGGTAAAAACCTTGTCTGTCATGTTTTACAGGTTGAGGTCACGAGACCACAAACACACTGAGGCCATAGTGTGAATTTGTCATCTTGCATAACTTTACTTGTGTATCAGCAGTATTTACAGCTATTGTAAGCCGCTCATGTCCAGTATAATCCCTTCTTTAGAAACATTTCTCAAACTAGAAATTATAAATAAGCCACCAGACAACCAGAGGTGTTAATGGCTTTCAGGAACAATTTGCCTCATGGTTTGTCTTTCCAGAGATGGAAATAGGAGTAGACCAGTGTATGTGGTAGGCAGATTTCTTTTCACAGCATTTAACATAAACTAGTGCGGTTAATGGGTGTTACAATGACACTAAAGGAGGCTTTGTACCATATAGTGTAGCAGCACTGACCTGAATGGAACTGTAATTACTATCACTAATGTTATGTAATTACTATGGTAACAGTGTTTCACTTAAAAATGGTTGCTCAGATTACAATGACCTTTTATGGATGTTTGCAGAAGGTGATGATGCCAGAACATTAAAAGGCTTTTTTTCTTAGGCTCACATTTCCACAAATTACACAAGGGAACATAATAGTACTACTGTTTACTTTTCTCTTCGTCTTTCTCTGAAAACCTGCTGATGTAACTATGGTAATAACATTAATGACTGGTTCTGTCATGTGCCAGCTTTCTGGAACTTGCACACCTAAATGGAAAGCAGCACATATTAATGTTATTACCGACGCCTGTCGGTCAGTAAGATCAAGAGCAAATAACTTCCTCCCTAGTTCAGTGTTCTTACTGTAAACACCTTTGTGGGACTGCAGAGGAGACATTTCTATTTAATGACTCAGTTGTGTAGCTGCCTGAAAATGAACTTAGTGGAACTGGACACAAAAAGAAATGTCATACACTTTTAAAAAGGCTGCAAAAAATCATAACATTGCATAATCCAATGACAGCAAATCACCAATGGTCACAAGTTGACACCAACAGTAAAAAATACAACCTAAATATCAATTTTAAGAAACTGAATTGCTCTACTCTACTAGCAGGGTGGTTGGAAGTGCTGGAGATATGTATGCTTTACAAATCATCCACAAAATGAATACTGCAAATATTGGAGTGTGTAGATGCTTTTCCCATCGTAAATCTGAACAAAAAGGAATCCTTAGAGGTTTCAGTTACTGTTTAATGCATTGTTGTTAGATTGGATTGTATAAAACTGCTTTTGGTTATTTTGACTCTCTGTAGAACTGATATCTAACCAATAGTCAAAATTAACTTGTATATTAAGTCAACACTGAATATGATCCTTCTGGGTTGATAGATTGCATTTTTATTGACACATTTTTTTTAATCTTTGAGCAGATCAGGTATGAATACAGTAACTTAGTTGTTACTGGAGCCTGAACCTGCACAACCTGCTGACTGGCCTGAAGGGTTTATTGTGTATTAGCTCAAGCCCAAAGGTACTGACGTCCATATTGCCTGTGTTTTGCATAGTGACGTCCCTTTGGTTAATTAGTCTTTCAAATATTTTAACAGTTAAGTGTTTGCTAGCTGCCATGACTATCCTGCACTGAAGAGTGGGAAAGCGAGTCGTTCAAAAATACGATACTGGATGTGCTTGAACCTTGTGGGCCTGAATGTGTAAATATTGATGCCAGACCCATACAAACTGTTCATAACTTTTAATTTGGACAACAAGGAATAAACCAATGTTAAAATGACATCAAATCCAAGGCCTGGCTGATGAAATCAGCCAACTAGTAAGAGTTGAGGAATGAGAGACAGATGGAGGGAAATGGGGCAAAAAGAAAAGTCAAGCTATCAACTCAAGTCACCCCCAATATAAGGATTCACAGATGCGGGAGACCAAAGTTACAAAAACGTATTTCCTCTAAAATAAAAAAAGGCCTTTGCCATGAAAATGATGTGTAGAATCTATGTACATCATTCTCAATTCATGTATGCATACAAAAAAATCCACATCACAAGATGCTTGTGTTCAAGTATATTCACCAACTTCATCTCCATGATTTAGCATTCTCGTCTTTCCACATTTTTTTGAAATAAAATGTCCTTCAAAATAAAAACAAAATGCAGAAAACCACATTTTATGTCCTACCAATACATATATACTGTATAAATACATACATAAATATATTTTACATACAACAGCCATAAATTTGAAAAGGGGATATACAGAGCAAAGGGGAGGGGGGTGGTGGTAGTGTGTGTGTTTTAGCTTGTGTTGAAAAATGGTTTGTCCCTCTATGATTTCATCAGTCAGATACGCAGGTGTGGTGCTGTGTGTTGGTGTCTGTCCATGCACACACACGCACATCATAATTGTAGCCATCTCAGTTGGCCCAGTACGGGGAGCTGCCGTAGCTGGACTTGTTGACTTGGCTCTTCTGCTGCATGCTGCTGGACTGGCCCCGCTGGTTGGGACCACCCTGAACACGGAAAGACGTACGTGTAAAACATCTGAGAAACTCTCATCTGTGAAACTGCTGAATAATATCTGCGAGCGTTACCTGTCCATCCTGAGCTAGATGGTGGTGCAGCAGCTGTGAGTGTGGTTGCTGGTGAGGCAGGATGTGAAGGAATGGGGCCGGTGCATAGCCTCCAGGAGCTGCTCCAGGGTTGAGAGGCCCTGGACCCCCCAGTGCTGATGGCAGGCTGAAGGGAGGAGGGGTCCCCGCATGGAAACCCTGCTTATCAAAAGACTGCAGATGGAGGATAAAAGGACAAATATAACATACCTATATATTTATATTTATGTAAACACAAACTATACAGTGAGACAACGGGGCGGGTGGGGCGTTGAGGTCTTTGAGGCTCACCTGGGTCTTATTGTAAACACTTCCACTGATGTCTGGCACACCCGAGTTACTGGACGTTACTGAGACGCCTAGCAGGATGACAGCAACAATGTTTACACATTGTAATTCCAAACAACTTCACAAACCCAAATGAAGATATTAAAAACGGTGAGGGCTTTTTCCTACCTTTACCGGGCCCAGTAGCAGCAGATTTGGCTTGTGCCTGTGAGGAGGAGTTGTATCCTTTACTGTAGTCCACTCCTGCTGGCCCCGCTGTCAGCTCCTCATACCCTGGACAAGAAAACATCAACCTCAGAGTTCAAACAATACACACCAATTCCTGTACAAGAAATTCCACACAATATTATTATAATAATAATACTAATACAAATAATACTACTACTAATAATAATAATACTAATAATTTAGGATTTCTTAACCCAAATCAAATGAACTTCAACAAACATTACTTTTAAATGTAAATGAAGTGGTGTGCTCACTAACCTGAGCTGAAGGTGTGCTGGCCATAACCGCTGGGCTGCTGCTGTGTCTGCTGCTGGAAGGGGCTAGCCGAGGGGTTTCCCAGACCAAGGCTCATACTGTGCTGCTTTGCTGAGGCTGGTCCCGGGGCCCCGGGAGGAACAAACATGGTGGGGCCGTACTGGAAGGCAGCAGCACTGGGTACAGCGCCGGGCACACCGGGGTAGTAAGGCAGGCCTGTGTAGCTGTAGCCTGGAGGCAGAAAAGCCTGCTGACTGCTGTGGTGTTGCGGTTGGCCCTGGGGCTGAGGCTGGGCCTGAGGAGGCTGAGGCTGGGCCTGGTTCTGTCCTTGGCTCTGGCCCTGGGGAGGCTGCGGGGCCGCCAGGCTTGTGGGGGGTGCTGGGGAGGTGGAGTCGTTCCTGCCAAACTTTGTGACTTCACCTGAAAAAAGGGGGGACGTGTCAAAGGGAGAACAAAACAGGATTTTCGACAAGAGCAGCAAAGGGTGAAGGTGCTTTACCTGAGTAGGGGTTGTTGGCTAGGCTCCCATCTCTGCCAGAGAGAGTCGCTGTGGGGCCAGGGAATGTGATTCCATAGTAATCCTGCAAAGAGGGCTAAAGGGACAGAAGAGGATCAGGAGAGGAGACACATGACAACCAAACTAGCTAAAACTCTTGAGTAGTGAGGCTAGAGAAGAGGTGAAGAGCTGATCTAAAAGTGTGGTGATCAGGCTCACCATTGGCAGTCTGGACTGGAGCATATGGAGGTCCTCGTAGCCATAGATCTGCTGCGAAACACAAAGGACAGGTACGGTCAGCTAGAAACACTTGTATACGATCATTGAAGGGACTGCATAGATGGGATTCACAGCTATCAAGTTTTGTGCTCGCCGTTTTAAAATAAAGAGCTACTTACTGGGTATGCTGGCAGCAGCCCCCCTGGGCCCATGATATACTGGTTGGGCAGCAGAGGAGGCACTCCTTGGGACAGGTTAGGAGGAGCTTTACCTGACAATACAATGATACAACAACCATCACTTCCTTTCATGTGAAGAAACAGCAACAGTTCATCTTCATTGGGGCACAACAGTGAGTGAAGACAACCCCATCACATGGTAAAATCCCCAGTGGAGGAGGTGTGTGTGTGTACCAGTGGAGGAGGAGAGCAGAGGTGTGGTCCTTGGTGCAGAGAGGTTGGACGTGGCAGTAGCTCCATTGGAGCCAAGTCCCAGCGCCGTCGTGGCGGCAGTGACAACAGAGTGAAGTCCACTGGTGCCAGCGATACCGCCGACTGTGCTGTTCATGTGGTTGCCCATGTGGGGCATGTGGGGCATGTTGGCCAGGTGGCTGATTCCGCTGCTACTGTTGCTGCTGTTGTGGGTCGAGTGGAGTGCTGAGGCCGAGGGCTGCGATGATGTGTAAGAGCCAGAGGAGGGGGCCAGGGAGCTAATGCTGCTGCTGTCAACACTGGTGTACTGAGGAAAGGGACCAAAGGGAGATAAAGGGTTCAATCTGTATTCAGATTTCATTTGGTAATGCATGCGTGTACTCTGTGTGTACTGGCATTTATATACTGCAGATCAGGAGTTAAAACCTCAACTAC